ATGGTGCTTAGTTGCTGGCTGGGGCTAAACCACAACAATCATGCAAACAATTACCAGATTTTTTTTTATATATATATCTTTGTAGGCTGTTCTCCATTCAAGTAGACTGTACACTGATTTGAGAAATCTATTTTGGCCACAGTCCAAAGCATGTGTTTAACTATTTTTTAAGTAAAGATTTTTTTTTTTTCTCAATTAGGAGTTATCTGTAAATAATAACTGATAGCTAACTTCTTATCAAACGTATTTAGAACCTCTAAGTCTTTCCTTTCCCAGTTAAATAAAACACCCTGAGGATCTCACCTTCTTTTCAGCACTCAGCAAAAATAATAGCTGTGATCAGGCAACAGTGGCATCATTATTTGTCCTAGCTTCTCTCAGTAGTACAATTTTTTCATCTGTGCTCCTTTCAGGAGAGCCATAAAGGCACTACCCAGGACAAACACCTCTATGATCCTACACATTAACAGTTTTTGTGGTAGCACAGCATCAGCAGACTGAAACTTATGAAGATTAGATAATCCTGGTCTTCTCTTTCATCCTGCTGCCTGACATTGCTGTACAAAAGCCCAGGTAGTCATCCTGAGAGGAATTTCTCCTACTGGGGAGAAAGGAAAAATATGTGGTGGGAGGGGGTTAGAAAGTCTAAAGAGCCTACCATACAGGTAGTTTAAACCTCTAATACTGGTACACATCAGTTACTAATGAAAACAACAAGTGTAGGTTTAAAAAGATCATATGATTCCATGTCTCTCTATAAAGTGTTCTGGGTGCTAATTAACAAAAACGTGCAAGTTCCTAAAATCCTTCCAAACTCATTTAATGTGAAAAGTGCATGCACCTCTTCAATCAGTTCAATGTTCAGAGCACACCACATACAGCAACTGCCTAACACCAGGGGACTGCTCCAACGTATTGAAGCGTATAAGGTACAGCTGCCATAGGGAAGTGCCACCGTAGGTGCCATCAGCCCTGTGGATACCCCGTTCAGGGCACAAGAACCCATGCACAAGACTCAGTCTATTGAATACAAACCTTCACTACACTGCATGTCCTCATGCCCCAACAAGCCCAGCCCAGGCAGGACAGGAGGACTCTGACCTCTCTGTCGCTCGCTTCCTCGTTTGTGACTCCAAATAAGGATGGAAAAAGCTGCCCTATTTATGGACAGGAATATCTTCAAGACCCGTAACTACCATTCTTCCCATTTTCAATGTGCCTACACTGCTTATAAGCCATCACAGCGGGATCAATGGCCCTTCTGGGACACTGAAGTCTGCATGTTCCTACTCCCACCCTGGAGGACGGAAGGGTCTGGCACTTCAATTATGACTGCAGCACATCAAGGACGCAGCACTGGTTAAAAAATGAGACTATTCTATGTACCTACCTTGCAAATTTCAAATGATGATACATTTTCCTACTATGTAACTCTTCAAAAACAACTTTAAATGGTTTTTGAAACTATTTAAGGACAAGAACTTCAGTAAAGCCGCAATGACTAATAAAGTACAAAACAACCTATTCATGCTGACTGTATGTTTCTGGATTTCTTCAGAATGAAGGAGATCCTAGTGCTGGCTGTCCAGTTATGAAGTGATTTTCAAAATATTCTTCTGAAATTTGCAAAAAGAAAGTTTCCAAATCATAGTTTCACCTTATATACAGAAGAGAATGCTCCATCCCTAAAATGTAACTTTTAAAATTGCTGAATGAATGAATGAATGAACAGGAAGTTCATAAATGATAAAAGAAAAAGTCAAATACAAATGAAGTGTAGAAATTAAAGAATAAATTTGGCTCCAATATCCCACTTACAGTTTAGTATGTCAGAAAGCAAGCGGAAAAGGCCCAGCAGGTGTTTTATACCAGGACACTTCAAGAATCTCTTAGAAAGTTAAAATCACAAGTTTTTACTACAACATCTTACATGCATTCCATAGTGAAAAACACCACATATTTGCAAAATGTCTTACTCTATAACAGCACATTAGAACACTGGATCAAATCTTTGTCTTGTTGAGGAATCCCTTTACAATAAATGTCTCTTCACTGACAAGCAAAAACAGCATCTTAAAAGAGTTCTTTTCCTTTCTCAATTTTCCATTTGAACAATATTTCTATGTTGCAAACTCATTAATTTATTTTGCCTGTAACAGGCTAAAGTATTTTGGAGGAAACACGATCATAATCTACATGTTACTTTGTGACAGTTGTAACAGTTACAACTAAGAAGTTCTTCTATGCTTTAGTTCACTAACAGTAGACACTTCTAGAGAACGTAGCAATGATCTGTGCAGTCTACTGTAGAAACATGAAAGGAAACTACTCATTATTAAACTATTTTTGCAATCATTTTTAGAAGTTTGAAGCACCATGGTTAATTACATGGCTCTGCTGCAAACTAGCAATCAGCATACCTGATTTAATCAAATATTGTTCAACTTCAGCTATCATAAATCATAATGACTTGCCCTTTTCTTTCCCTGTAAATTTAATCAGTAAAATTTTGCCAGTGTATGATATAAAACCTACACATGAACATGCTTACAAACCAGGCACACCCTGCCAAGGAGCCAACTGTAAATACCACACTGGGAGGCTGAATAAATGGTCTTGATAAAAGAGGCAAAGGAAGACCCAGAGGAGGGGTTAAACTGCTGATCATTATCCACTATTCCCACCACTTGGCCATTGGAGTGCAAATCTCCTCTCCTCTTTCCAGGGAAACAGAGAGGACTGGAAGTAATTCCAGGCTAAGGTATCTCTTACACCTCCCTCAATTCACTATATGCCATTCAGAAACCTTTCGGATCTCTAGACAGGCGGCTTTATCCTGCATCCACCTAGTTATCGCAGGAACAAGCGCTGCAAACGTGAGAGCTCCATTCAAACAAACGTAAAGATGCACTGTAGGTTTCTTTTCTTTCCCTACTTCCTTTCAACTCTAATTCAGAGTAAGACACAACCACACAAGTGTTCTTCTTCCCACATCAGCACCTTAAGAAAAAACTTTGCTGATGAAATTCTTGATAAAAATTGTATGAACAAACACTAAAACCAGAATGTCACAAGTGGTCCTACTACTGAGAAACTACATGAAAAGGTAACAGAAGAATGAGTTTGAAAGCAGTATCTCATCATGAAAGGGTTTTCTTACTCTTAATTGTAACGTGACTGTAGTTAAGTGAATGTGAAAATAAAAAATAATTCAAGCGTATTTCCACTTACTTTCAGAGGGGAATTTTTTCCTTAATTTAGAACTATACCCAATAGAAAATAAAGAAATGCAAGCTTTATCTGACATTGAACACCCATAGATCATGGATTATTCCTGATGGCATTCTCACACATTTAAATGGTAAAAATGTTACAACAACTCTATGAGAAAAGTAATAATTAAATAAAAAAGCTTCACCAAAACAAAGACAGCTTGCTAGCACTTTAAGGAGGTAAGCGTGATGGTGAGAACTTCATGAAATATTCACAAATGTTAATTAATCTATGTGCAGAGAGTAATTTCCAACAGGCTAACTTTCCAAACCTTCTTCAGCAGTGTCTAGCTAGAGATGCACTATTTAGCTTTCTGATCCTGCATAGCATTTATGAAATTATGTCTCAGGGCAAAGAAAGCAATTCTGTCTTTTCATCAGAAAACCAAAGAAGAAAAAAAGATTAATAAAAAATGCTTTTTTATCACCATTTTCACATTAGAACCGCACCTAAGAGCTAAAGGGAACACTAGGCTGTCCTAATGCCATGGTTTTCATGTTGTGGTCTGCAGGCTTCTCTGGCCCCTAGACTAATGAATTCCAAAATGTCAAAAGTAACCAACACAGACAAGCCTTGCAATCGGTGTCCACTGCAGAGAGTTTGCATTTCTGGTAAGTAGAAATGTTAAGGATGCACAAATAAAATGACTGGACATTAGTGCCGTTATCTGTTCTTTCCACCATCTGATAGAAGAATTCTGTTCCTCAGACTGATGCAAATGCACATTTATACAATACACAAATATTCATCCCATCTATCCCAACTACTTCCCCCCTCAACAGCCTAAAGCATATTCTGATGCCTTTGATACCAACTTTAAATTTGTCTTTGTCATTTAAAGATCATAACTCATCACTGTACTTCCAGTCTACACCACCTTTTCCCAAAATTCTGAGCCAATAAACAATACTCATATAATTAAGACATTATTAAAAATAAATAAGCAAACAAAAAAACTTCTCAAGCTAGAAGTGTTTCTAGCTAGGTGCCTAGCTAGAAAACTAGAACAAGCAATAAAGGCCAATAAAAAATGAGAAGAGAGCAAGTTATCTGAAATGTCTCTGCTGAAAGTCTGACTCCAGATATAGTATCAGATAGTGGATAAACTTAAGTCCAACACATTGTCAGTGGCAAGTGACCAATTTTAAACATAAAAGCCTAAATTCCCAGCATCTTTTCTCTTTGTAATTGTTAGAACCGTTAACCAAACCAACTTACCATACAGGTACGGGAGTTTTCTCCTATAAATGAATCTCTTAGCACCTGAGTAAGTTTACTTGCTCTGAAGGGTGTATGAGGTTTATTTCGGCCTAAGGCTCTAATGCACTCCTGAAAGAACAAACAGGTTTATGCATTTTTCTTTAACATGGGTTGAATAACACAAATGCCATTCAAAATCAGAAAATACATGCCTCAGTTAAAATACATGCCTTAGTTATGTTGCTGGCCCCTAAAACATAATTAAAATTTACCATTAAAGCTTGGATTCAAGAAGTGTTAGGCTTTTACCTCTCATTAAGTTCAGCAGAGAGGTAGGAACTTAAAAAGGACTTAGGAGCCTAAAAAATTCCTGAATCTCATCCAGAATGTTTACATCCATTGTGTCCAACAACAACAAAACAAAACCAAGCAGTGTTGATGTTGAATATCCAGACTAACAATTATTTCTGATTATCAGCTGCAAAAGCCTGAATGATCTACAACCTCTGCCAGCAGAAGCAGCATGGACAGGGACACGTGTGAAGTCTATCAATTAAAAGCAGTACCTTTCATTCTGGCTCTACCACTGACTTTCTTTACAGCTCAGAAGAAAACAAACTTTCTAAAAGCTTCCATAGATCACAAACCTAGTAAGCATAGCTCTCTATTGATGTACACAATCTTGGAAGACACTTGAAAATCGAACTTATTCCCCATTTTAAAATATTCTTCATGTGGAAACACGAGGATAAGGTTTCCTCTTTCAAGGCTATGGGGCTAAACTAATATTTGCCATTGGTTGGAGAATACCACTGAGAAATACTGTACAGATGTAAATATTATGAAATTACTGTAGAACTTACAGCAGCAACTAAGTACAACAGCACAAACCAAGATTGCACTAATCTAAGCATCACTTCTGCCCACGCAGAGCTCTAACATCAGCTAATAAATTACTTATTACACAAAGAAAGTTTAAATTTAAATTTCTGTGTTGTTGTCATATTTTGATCATTAATTCCAGTTTCTGCCTTTGCCTTAATACTTTATGAACAGGCATCTCTTCAGATGCATGGCTTCCCTAGTACATTTTTAACACGTCTACACAGAGAACTTCTTCAAACAACCATACTTCAAAAGCTTTTCAAATTAGAGCTTTGCTTTTAGCAGCACTAACAGAGGGAATGGCTTTTGTGTTACATGAATAGTTCTACAGTAGTTCAGCTAATCCTCCAGCTGCAGCCATATCCTTGTGGCCTTTTGAAATTTCCTAGAAACAGCCTCTTCCAAAAGGCAGGCTAGAAACTGTGGGATGATAATCCAAGAAAGCATTGCAAGTGTGAAACAGCATAAAATAGAACTAAAAATGGGCTCAGGATAAAACTGCCAAAATACAGAACAGAAAAAACACAAGGGTAAGTTGGCTTTAACTAAAGTGATTATTTAAAAAACTCCCCAGCTGAATTTTATAGAATGGACACAGCTCAGATAAACAGAAAGACTGAAGCTTGTTGGATGTGAATTTCACATGCAAATGCTAAAAAGGACTCAATACTTATAGGTGAGCAAGGCAGTGCATTCCTTGAATTTTTTGAATTTGTACATTAATACTATACTTACATAAGGAGAAAAGCAGATTAGACAGGAAGAAGGGCAACAGATTTTTCAACACGTGACATTACAAACTAAAAACAGTAATAAATGTGTATGTTGAATTACTGATGTGGCAACCAACAAGTTTAATTAAGATATTTAAATTTGCTATAATGATTTTTAGTTTGCTTACTCCTGAAAAATTAGAATTGGATTATCTCTTTATTAGTAAAAGGATTATAGGAGGACACTGCCAGCTTCTAAATTAATGGAGTTTTTAACTACTTTTGCTTTTCATCACAGCCCAGAAAACCAGGCAACAAGATGACAACACTACTTCCATGTAGAGACATTACAGAAATAAATTCCTGTACCAAAAATGTGAACAGATTAAGACAGGACTGATATGCAGATGCAAATAGCAAATCTTGGATTAGCACCAAAGACCACTCCTCAGAACATATTGGTTTAATTTGAACTGGACAATAACTTCAAGGGTCTTGAATACAAATGGAAAAAGCTGTGTAATGTTTTTGGGGATAGATGAAAAGTGGAAAACTAACATTGTTGAGAAACTTGTATCTTCCTGTACCTCCATTCAGACCTCTGCAAAACCTCCAGTTATTTTTATTTTGCCTTTCCTATGCAATTTAGATCAGAACCTCTAGTACAGCAGTAGCAGAACCTTTCACTCTAATTAAAAAGGCAAGCTGTATGAAAATAAACTAAGTATGTTGTATGGGTATTGCACTGAAGGCACTAGCCAGTAGAAAATCAACAAGTAAACTGAAAAAAACCCCCCAACCCAAAACCAAACCACCTTCATTCAATTACATTTAGAAACAAGTGATAACGTCAACACAACAATGCTTACATTATTTACTTTGATGCTAAATCAAAACAGGCCACAGTTTTGGAACTGCTGCTTCCAATTTTTCAACACGCCATACAATTTTGTAATGACACATTACACATTACAATTTTGTGGTGTTTTGTGAGATCTGCTTAGTCAGATACAAGTCTTCTCCCAAGTTTGTACTGGGGATTAAAAAGTAAGCACAGTGACTTTCGGGTTCAGATTCTTTATATAAAACCACAGTGTTGGTGCTGAGAGTAGTAAACCTAAGCAAAACTAAACAACAACAGAGATAAGTCTGAGACACTCAAAACTACTGTTTCCCCATCTGAGACCAAAAAATTACTTTCCCTATTTACACTGAACCTCTTTTGAGCATTAAAAAACAAACCAGAAAAAGGCATATGAATATTTAAATACTATTTCTTAGCTCTCCTGACGTGTCCTGGATTAATGTACGAAAATCCATAAAGTGACTGTATCAGACAATTTGCTATAAAGAACAGTAGTCAAAAATGGATTCCAACTTTCAAGGGTTATTTTAATCTGTTAGTTCTTTCTGGATATGTTGCTGTTGTGTTGCTTTAGTGAATTAATTAGCAGCTGTAAATAAATATGCTGTAAAGGTAACTTTATTTTTTACTTTTAAAAAAAAAAAGAAATAAACACTGAGATTGGAAAGGTATTTCCAGTTAGTATTTCAGACCTTGAGTACCAAAGTAAGTTATCTGTCTTCACATTTTAGATATATATCAGAAAAGTCTTCAAATTCAACCACTGGGGATTTTTTGGGGTTTTTTTTTTTATTTTTAAACTCCATGCAAGTTGATAGCACAATGTTTCTGCAATGTTTCTACTTGGTAATTACCAAGTGTTCCTTCAGGCATTTAGAGGAAAAATCAATACATTATTTTACCTGTCACATCAGTAGACAATGTAGACAAGCAAAGCCTGCAAAAACACTCGTTTTAATAGTCGTTGCTATTATATGTAGAAGGCTTCCACCTACTCAAAGGCAATGGAAACATTTCAGTTACCTTGAGTGCTAAAAGGCTCTTGTTAATTTCCGCACCTTCCAGTCGCGTCTGCCTATCTGCACTGGAAGTATCTGCTCCTCTTTCATTGCCAGCCAAATCAATCAGAGAAAATTTACCATGCAATTTTCCTTTCCTTCTAAGAATAATCTGAAACACTGCATGGCTTCGAGATGAGTGTGCATTTGCAGATGTCTGGCCAGATGTCCTTTAAACAAAAGGAGAGAAGGGAAGGACATATGAACAGGCAAAGGACCAATACATGTTAAACACACTAACCTCAGAATGTTAGTTTTTTCAGGGCGGAGTTCTGTGTTTTCTTACATGTGTTGACAGCATGTCTAAAGTTCTTGTGGACACTAGAGATACAACCCTAATAACTGGATGTACATAGTACAATTACACCTCTTTTCCCACTTCTTCAAACAGAAATGGAAGATTAGTAACATTTTACCTTCCTTCTAAAAGAATAATCGCATCTTCAAAGATTTCAGGTTATCAAAGAGCTTACATGTAAACTGCTGATGGCATTTATCTGATCAGGCAGCACAAGGCTAATTTTAAAAACAATGAAGCTGGATTCTTAAAAAAAAAAAAATTACGCTTAACCTCTGTCACTATATATCAAGGCCTTTTAGAGCTGAAGAACCTGGTAGTATTCCAGATTATAAATTATGTGAATTTAAGTCAGTAAACTGGTTACATAATGCATGCAGTTCACATTCTGTAGAAAAATCAGTTCTTATTACTCCTTAGGAGACACAGAAACTCTAAATATCTTTATTTAAAAGGTATGCAAATTCCTTACTTGCAGCCAACATCAGCAAAAAACCCACTGCATATTAAAAAGCCATCACTATGAAGTGACGCAAAAAAAATCTTGTTTGGATTCTTTAATGTACAATGAAAAACTGGTGGAAGCTATGGGAGATACCTGCAGCTGTTGCCTATTTCAATAAGCTTAAGAACATCTTCAACACATTTGACTTCCCGTTCCTGTAATCCCACCACCTGGACTTGCTGTTTACCATCTTCTAAGACTCTTAATTTTGTCTTCCTGTTCAACAAGTCAAAAACCTTAGGGAGGAGGGGAAAACAGAACAGTTAAAGAGGAGCTTTTAAAGGCACTTTTGTTTCAAATCCCATATCAAAATATGCAAAGCATCCCATAGAAAAATGTAATTGGAAGGGAATTGTAAAGAATTATTTGAAAGAAAGCTTTCGGTACAAAAAGGAAAAAAATCTTTTATGTGACAAGCTCAAAATCTTGTTTGTGAAACAGAAATTCCTCCTTCCTCAGAGAAAGATCCTTACCTTACCACTGTAGATCTCAAAAAATGTTGCATATACTTGAAGTTCTAACTTCTTATAGTTTGGCTTCTTTAGCATTAAAAAGACATCTCGAGCTGTGAATACATTTCCAGAATAAAAAGAAATCTCATTACGTATTTTCATTTAGTGAAGACTCGTTAATGCATAACAGTCCTATTTTGCAGCATCTCTCATATTTTGCAAGTATAACATACAGGGTCAGTCAACCAAGTCTAAACCACTGCAGTTTAAACTGCCACATTACATTGGAAGATGCAGAAGACCCCAAAATTATAAAATTAATTAATCATCTGATATATTTATTACATTTTTTTAAAGTAATATGTATATACATTTACTTTACTGTGTAAAGACTACATATCTAGGAACTACTTTTGATGTTACCAAAGCTCGACTGTAATGCAAAATATACAGACCCTTATGTTTCTACAACAGGGAGTAGAAAATTTATTGATCTCAACTAATTTGGAAAAAGCCAACAGACCAATAAAGTCTCACCTGCAAGTGCATATATTCCTTTAGAACAATCTTGGTTTTTTCCTGAAAAGTCACCACCCATAGTCTAAATTAAAAAAAAAAAAAGACAAAAATACACACTAAAGATCACAGAACTGTAACTTACAAATCTGTTACCTATTAGAACTTATCTAAGTGTATCATACATAAAAAGAAGTATATTGCTGACATGTAGAAGAAACACTTACATGGGTTTTTCCACTGCCTGTTTGCCCGTATGCAAAACAAGTGGCCATTCCCCTTTCAAATATGGTCTCCACTAATGGTCGGGCTGTAAACCTGAAATGCAAAAACCAACAGTACTTAAGAAACTGAATTGCTTTAAGATGCCACTACCACAAGGATGCTATAAGCAGTGACAAAGCTGGCCCTGCACTTTGAGAGGCCAAAGGACATCTCCACATTAATTCCTGAGCTGAAGAGACTACCAGCTCTAAGGCATTAAAATGCCCTAACATTCAAATAAAAGCTACAAGGTCTCTCCCATTTGTTTTACAACAATATTATCCTTCTTTAAACCCTGAGAAAAAACATTTTCATGTTTTAATGATGAAACACAGCACAGCTTACTACAGTTTGGAGCTCCCTAAAGAAAACAGCATTAGAAGACATGGAAGGAGGACAGTGGAGCAGACAAATACTTAGGTTTTGCCAATACTAAAATTTTGCTATTGCTTTGGTTTTGTTTTTTTTTCTCCCGAAATCAACTTCCAAGACTAAATTTAGATGACCGGTGGCCAAAACAACATTGCAGATCTTAACATTTTGAGAACATACATACACTGAGAAAAGGCTCAAGAAAACATATACTCAAGCTCTTCAGAATGGAAAAATCTAGTTATCCCTGAAATATTATTTGATGTGTCAAAAAATACTATCCAAAGTATAATTTTTCTATTTTAGAGAATTAATTGTTACTTTAAAAAAAACATACAAGTTATTGCTCCTACTTCAGCTGCTTATCATCACTATTTCATGAAAAACTCCAAAAGCAAAGGGTAACCTAATGGAGGGTTACCAAAGGAGGTAAGAGCGTCTCTGCAAAAGCCTCTCTTTCTCAACTTTTTCCAGGTGTTTACAGATAAAGTATCGTTAAATGACAGAAACAGGAACAATTGTTTACAGAAACACTGAGATGTTACAACCTCCCTTCATTCCACTTTGGAACAAACACAAGAATGCTTACAAAAATAACATGGGTAAAACCGAGCCATTGAACGGCCAAGGGTTATGCAAAAATCTAGGTTTAACTGAATCTTGAATTTTCATCAAAAAGATACCAGATTATTCCTCACCAGCCTTAGTCTTTCTTTTTTGCTTCCTCTAAACATATATGTCCTTTGTCCTCAAGAGAACATGCCCATATTTTGGTGTTCTTTTTATATATAAAATACAAAATTTCATGAAGCCTATCCACCTAAGAAGCACACTCCATTATCTCTGTTTAATTGAGTTTGAGAGGTGAGGTCAGCCTCACCTCTGTGCCCGGGAAGATCATGGAACAGATCCTCCTAGAAGCTATGCTCAAGCACATGGAGGACAGGGAGGTGATTCGAGACAGCCAGCACGGCTTCACCAAGGGCAAGTCCTGCCTGACCAACCTAGTGGCTTTCTATGAAGGAGTGACTGCATCAGTGGACAAGGGAAAAGCAACGGATGTCATCTATCTGGACTTCTATAAAGCCTTCAACACAGTCCCCCAAAACATCCTTCTCTCTAAATTGGGGAGATATGGATTTGATGGGTGGACTGTTCGGTGGATAAGGAATTGGCTGGATGGTCGCATCCAGAGGGTCGTGGTCAATGGCTCGATGTCCACATGGAGACCGGTGACAAGCGATGTCCCTCAGAGGTCTGTACTGGGACCAGTGCTGCTTAACATCTTCATCAATGACATAGATAGGGGGATTGACTGCACCCTCAGCAAGTTTGCAGATGACAAAAAGCTGAGTGGTGCAGTTGACACACCAGGAGGACAAGATGTCATCCAAAGAGACCTGGACAAGCTGGAGAGGTGGGCCTCTGTGAACCTCATGAGGTTCAACAAGGCCAAGTGCAAGGTCCTGCACCTGGGACGCGGCAACCCCCGATATCAGTACAGGCTGGGGGATGAAGGGATTGAGAGAAGCCCTGCAGAGAAGGACTTGGGGGTACTGGTGGATGAAAAGCTGGAC